AGGGGGGGGCGTGTTCAAGTGGCACTGAGGCAACCGCGACGCCCGTGTGTGCACGCGTGGAAGACGGTCAAGTGGTCCTCAGGTCAGCGAGGCGGAAACAGCTGCCTCCGAAGTCGCATGTGGTTGGGGCAAAGGACACTGAACAAAGAACACGGACAGCATTTTTGGCCGTCCGCCACAGGGTGACAGCGATGATGATTATGATGACGACGGCGACGACGACGGGAATGGGGGCAAAAATTATGAAAATGAGGATGCTCATGACGACAACCATGACGATTATGAAGGGGATGATAGTGAACAGGATGATGATGTTGATGATTACGGCTACGCATAGCATGTATGCTCCATTGCTGAGTTACTTGCCGACTGTTCGGTTACTTCTTCGGATGCCGAACTGCTCTAACTACTACCTTTCTCCCACGATTATGTGCTACAGGCCGTATCCTCAGATTAAGAATTGCAAGAGGAGTCAACACAGTCCCACAATCTCGTCATTTCCCTTGTTTTCTGCTCAGTTAAACGTAAATCTTCAAGATAACCGCGTCGTCAAGATAACGTTGTCGTAATGTTCTCTTTGATGGCGGCTTCCACAGGCTGAAGAAAACAGCAAAAAATTCAACAGGTTTACCGGATTTACAGCCACAGTAACGAGAGGTCGCTTGTGCGTCTTACCAGCAGATAGCGTCACGTGCAAATGCCGTCCGCGGCGCGCGCGGGCATGCAAAAATCGATAAGCCAATCATCTATCGATTACGTAATTATCCTAACCAATGACAATCAAGCACGCGTGTAGCTCACGTTTGCGTTCTACGATAACGCGCTCATCTCTATTAGGTATGATGATTGGAAACTTCTTAACATAGCCACTGCTTCTGATCAGTTTGTCCATAAGCAATTTGACCAGACTGCCATCTAGTACGCTCCAGGTAGCTTAAAGCCGAACCCAATTTCTCTCCACCCAGTGGTAGAAGCGAGAGTGCGGCCAAAACCGTGGACCCGGTCTCCATATCGCTTCAGGGCACTCCCCAGTACAACAGATATGATGCGCTTGAATATATTGCGGAACGCTAACAGCCGTGGCTCAGAAGACTGAATAACTCGGTCGGTCTAAGGTCTAAAAGGTGAACTCTTTGGCTATGACTTTTATAGCAAACAAACGCATGTGAACTCCGAGACACCTTCCTATGCGTCATGGGGGATAATATCGCATGTGGGTTGCGTAGGCGGCTGCTACGCCCTTGCCCGTCCCCGTTCGCAGCAGGGT